CATTCAAACATTTCTAGCACCACCTTTCTTTCTTGGAATATCTAATGTTTGAATAAAAAATAAATTAATATTTATTTGGATAATTATCATAAGTGACCCCTAAATTTTTTCTTGGGTTTTAATGCAGTCCCTAAAATTTTAATTCTTTTAATTTAATCTATCAATTATCAATTTTATTTCAATTAAATAATTCCATTAATTTTCATAGTCAGATCAACTAGAGATTAGCCCAATTTGATTGATTTTAGCATTGATGTAACGATGAAAATAAATAAAAAAACTTAATTGTAACAAAACTGATAGTTGAAGGAGTAAAATAAGCCAAGTAAAAGTTCATAGATTAAATTCAAATTTGAGGTAAAACTCAGGACTAACTATGAAATTTACCCTATTTTTTTATAAAATATTATAAATGCATCAAATAAATATAAGTTCTTATCAATGGTAATATGATCCTAAATTTTTGTTCGACTTACAATAACATTTTAAAAAATTGAACATCGGTCGTTTTCTGCCTTTTTTTTTTTTGAGTAAAATGTTAAATGTTTATTTAATAAAAAAAGTTAATTAATAAATAAATTTTGACAATTTAAAAATAAATACACTGTTTTGCTCCTAAAAATGAGTTTTCTGCCTAAAAATAAATAAATTTTGATAGGTTTTCTACCTAAATATGAGTTTTTTTTTATTTATTTAAAAANTTTTGACAATTTAAAAATAAATACACTGTTTTGCTCCTAAAAATGAGTTTTCTGCCTAAAAATAAATAAATTTTGATAGGTTTTCTACCTAAATATGAGTTTTTTTTTATTTATTTAAAAATTAATTATATTCAATAAATAAATTTTGATAATTTAAAAATACATAAATTTCGTTTGTCCTACTGATGTTTTTCTCCCTAACAATGATACCTAAAAATATTTTGCTCCCTCTCTTTTTAAGAAGATGAGCTTTTTTTTTATTTATTTAAAAATTTAATTACATTCAATAAAAAAATTTTGATAATTTAAAAATACTTATATATTTTAGCATATCAAATTTTAAAAATTGAAAACGTATACATATAATTAATTTTAATTTTATCATATAATTATAAACGCACACATAAAATAAAAATAAAATTTGATTTGTAATGTTGATCATGTCAATATTAATGTTTAGTAAGCTGTGAAAAAATATAAGTTATTTAGAACGTATACATGTAAAAAAAAGATGTCAACAACGTGGTTGATATTCAAAACAATATAAAGAATTATCGAATACACATAAACATGATGGGATAAAAGTGTCAGACGCATCATCGTCTAAATCAGAGAAATCAGAAAGTTCAGGATCAGAAACAAACGGATCCTCTAAAATTTCAATTTCGGCATATTCAGAATCAAAATGCTCTATTTTAGCATGATTGAGTGCATGAAATCAATCAAGACGACACTGCATTTGATCATTTTCACGTTCAAGCCTTGATATGATCTCGTCATGATTGTTTGAATTATGTGAATTGTAAATATCAGCTGAACGTGCCTTTGGTACCACAATTTCATGCCAACAACAAAATACTTTAAGGTCACAAAGTTTGTCATATAATTGTCGTCATCTTGGTGTGGGTTCGATATGAGTACCTGGAGGTGGATAATTAGTTGCAGGCCTAACAATTACATGTCCAGCTTATCCGAACGGATGATAAGGGTCGATTGGCTTATTGCAAAATGCATGCTTTCGTTCATACCACGTTACACCATTAGAATCAATATATGATTCGATAGAAGAAATTTTGTTCAACGATGTTGAGCTGTTCATTGAGCGTTCACGTTTATTACCCCGAAGATGAACTATGACATTGCGTGAAGAAGAACTCGCATGTGATGTGCTTCTATACATTTTGTTTGGTGATGGTGCATTTACACAATTACGAATAGTAATATATATATATATATGCTCAATTTGGCAATTAAAAATTGCAGTAAAAGGACATCAATCTGTATAGTTTGGAACTGATTTGACAATGATGCAAAATGACAATAAAAAAGTAGGGATATGACAACACACCGCATTGATTTGTTAAAATCATGAGATAGATTAAAGTAAATAGGTTATCACACTACAAAGTTGAGAACTGATTTGACAATGACAAGAAGTGACAATAAAAAAGTTGAGATATGACAACACACTGAATAAACTCATAAAGACACAATATTGATTAAAGCTCCAAATTACATAGACATAAATGTTATATGCTTAATATGGTTGACACTAATTAAATTTTTTACTTTATACTCATCGGATATGTATTGTTCATTAGACAATACATTAGATTGC